AGGGAGCGTGTTCTTGAGTCGCTTCACCCGCGAACAGAAGGAGGTGGGTGCTGCAGTGATGACGGTGTGTAACAGGTGAGAACTAAAAGCAATTTCTGAGCCTACCGGTTAACCCATTTTGGTGTAGATTTCCGCATCTGTGAAGTGCTTTCTGGATGAGCAAACGTCGTAAGGCTGGCTGATGACGGCTAAAAGCTAGATGAAAACGTCGCAGAATGTCTTGCCCTTGCCAGTAAACTGCCCATGCTAAAAGTCGCTGAGCGATTGTTCCCCGGACCCTAGATTGAACGCCAAAGTAGAACGGGCGGACGGGTCCCATAACGCATTCGGTGAGCACTATTTGCCATGGTTAAAATACCTAATCGTAACCGACAGGACAACGAACCCGTGGCTGAATGATTGGAGCGCTGGACCAAGTCTCTGTTGCCGCAATCCTGAGGCTGGGTACAGATGACTAATAAGGCGGGAATTAACATTTCAGTCTCCCTTGTCTTTGTCGGTAATCTCTCTCTGCCTGTATTACTAGATGTTGTACGACTGCCTGTGGGGCTCTAGATCGAGCTCCAAATCAGAAATGAACGAGTATATCCCGTAACGCGGTTATATATATATATATATTCATTTGAAATTAAATACGTTCTTTGGGAATAGGAGAAACCTTTATTGAGTAGATTTTCGACGTCTGTTCTCCGTGCCGTCGTCAGACTAGAGTAAATGCGCAGAAAACAAATAACATTTTAAACGTGCTACAAAATCAATACTCATTTGGTGCTTCAGCCAGTAAGCTGCCGTCGTATGCGTCAGTCCGTATTGATCGGCTTTCGTCTCTTCCACTCTTCCCTGAGATTTTTGTGCGGGGCATCTATCTCGATATGCCCGTTGATGCATGACTCATCGGAGTGCATGGCTTCAAGAAACTCTCGGCCTTTTCTAGATGGGCAAACTCCGACGATATGTTCATGAATTGGAAGACAGGTATCCCAAGAAATAGAATTTGAAGATGGCAGGTTCTGTGGGGAAAGTAGAAACTTTATTTGTAAATTTCCGACGTCGGTTCCCCGTGTTGTCGTCAGACTTGAGTAAATGTGCAAAAAACAGTCAAGATTTCAAGCGTGTCCGAAAAAATCAATGCTTCTCCGGTAATTCTGCTGCTGCATGATGCAACTGCGGGGGGTCCGACTCCTCAGTAGCGGCCCCCATATAGCGCCTATCAATGGGCCTGAGATTTGGACTCTGAAGAACTCTGCATCTGACCTTCAGCCGGTATCAGTTTCCATAGGGGTAACTCTGACAATTCTCTTGATAGTGAGTGCCCTTATTACCGGTCACCAATTACTACTGATTCACGGATGGATAACGCCGCAGAAGTTGGTTTTATTCGACCCATATGCTCATTATAATTCTAATTTTGACACCGAAAAACCATATCCGGTCATTTAATTCTATGCCCTTGCAAAATTATCAGCTCAGCATGGCAGAGGACGCTCGACAATCGCGCTAGTGGACATACTCGTCCCGTCATCCTTGGAGGCTAGGTTTGGAGCCCTGCAGGTAGTCGCACAGCGACTAGTAGCAGACGTAAATGCGGTGATACCGGACAGGCAAAAGGGAGACCTGAAGGGCTATCTCTGGCCTACTAGTCGTCCTCAGCCAGTCATACCCAACCCCATATTTGGATCCGTGATCTTTTGACCATTTGGCAAACTCTCTAGTCATTGAGCCACGAGCTAGCTGTCGTGTCAGTTGTGATCGGAGATCTGCGACTCCATTGGGTGTGCGGGTTACGGGAGCGGACAAGGAGCCCCTGGCCCAACTGGCAGAATGTTAGACTCAGTAACGATCGGTGGTAAAAGAACTTGGAGTTGAGGCCCAGGTGCCGTAAAACCTGGGATCGGGTAAGACTGGCTGTCGCCAGCTTATACGGTAGGTGGGCTTACTCATGAAATGTCAACCGAAAATCCGAAATGCGTTTTCGTTACAAAAATATTAATTAAGTAAGGTTGTAAAACTAGTCAGTCTGAAATATAATTATGTAATATTTCAGTTACCTCAGGATGTCGGCTTTCGAAAGGACTTCCTTCCGATTGCATGCAAAAACTACACTCAGTAAAAATGACTACTTAAGTAGCATGCATTTTTCGATGCCCCTAAAAGTGGAATTATATTTCGTGGAACACATGCATAAAAATATTCATTCTTTTGCTCATTCGGTAGCAAATTAGGTTTTATTCCAACTTTATATTTGAAGGAGGAGTATAATTCGGTCTTTAAAAAGTTTCGAACTGTGGGACTTTTAAACACCGTGAAATGGCTGTTCATAAATCGTCATATCTGTGCATTTACCAATGTGGCTTGTAAAGTTAACAATATGGGTTAAATCCACTGGTAAATTTTATGAATCCTATATGGTTCCCCTTTATTACCGTATTGTGTGGTTTACAATACGCGAAATATTCAAGCCCTGTAGTTTGGAAACCCTGAATCCAAGTGTAACGGTAAAGCCGGTTCAAAATTATTCGGGAATTGGAAGTTTTTGAAAACCGAATTATACCCTTCTTTCGAGTATAAGACGGGAAGAAGGCGTAATTTTCTACCGAATGAACAAATGAGTGCATATTTTTTTATACACGTTTTCCATGAAATATAATTGAATGTTCAAGGGCATCAAAATTCAGTGATAAAAATGTATGCTACTTAAGTAGTCATTTTTACCGAGTGTAGTCTTTGCATGCAGTCGGAAGGAAATCCTTTCGAAAGCCGACATCCTGAGGTAACTGAATTATTACATAATTATGTTTCAGGCTGACTAGTTTTTACAACATTACTTTATTAATCTTTTCGTAACGAAAACGCATTTCGGATTTTTGGTTGACATTGCATGAGTTAGCCCACCTACTGTGAGTCAGTAGTAACCATCCCAGACTCCCTTGTCTTTGTTGGCGACACTCTTCTGCCTATGTTGATAGTCGCTGCGCGACTCTGTGTGGGGCTCTAAATGGAGCCCCGCAGCAGAGTGGGAGGAGAACGTCCCATAACCGATCGATGAACACACCCCAGACGTATATATTCAAATGGGGAGGGGGGGGGGAGCTCTGGATGAGAGATCGGTTGCATGGAATTACGCTGATGAACGTAGTAGTTTTCAACAATCAGATTAATAAGACTGTCCCCCTCAAAAAAGGGTTCAACAGGCTTGAAACCGTTAACGCGGTCAAAGCTTCTAATACATTAGCTAAAATAGACCCTGGTGCAGTCTGGTTTGCATATCTCGCGCGCACGGTATCTATTAATTCACGTGGGCCTGTGAATACAAATACAGTGAATGGTAGCAAAGGCAACCTGCAGGTAGTTCGGGTTGAGACTTTCTAAAATGGGCCGTAAGTCAAAGCATAAACATTCCTCATTTCTTCATGAGCTCTTCGAGCTTAACGCTGCAGTCGCAAGTCACGGTTACTATGGTACTTGAAGACAAATAATTGAACAAAGCGGTATGTCAGACAATACCATGGTAACTGTCTCTAATCACATAATCTACTTCTCTTAACTTTTCCCTCTCTCTGCAAAAATATCTCATTAGGCTGCCTGTCGTGAGCACTTTCAAGTCAGAGTTCCAGCTCTGTCCCTTCACCAACTATTTTCGTCCGATTTATAATTCCGTGTTTCTCTTCACTCTTGTCCGTGTACTATAGAACAACGGGAGGCAGTTGACGACTTAGAACGATCTCCATCAATTTCATTCAATCGCTTAAACTTGTGCAACGTTCTCTTCAATATTGAGTCCATGTTTCAAAAGTGATCAGACAGCCATTTCGAAAGGGCTTACAAAAGAAAATCATCAGGACACTTTGGAACCAATCCAGGCTACAAAGAATAAAATTCCATGATGCGCAAACTAAGATAAACGGTATCAGGCCTCAAGATGTGTTAAATGACTACGTAAGACTCCAGCAGCCTATTTTGAAACGGTACTCACTATCTAACTACATTGGCAAATTCGTGCTACGTCAAAAACGACCTTCGTGGTTTCATTATTGTAAACCCGACCATTGACTATTTCACAGTTTATCTATGTCTACAGATGTTTGCGGCTAAATCTTCGTTGGTAACAATTGAAAGTCTGACAGACTGTCCTGATAGTTCGGTTTGTAAATTGTCACGTCCCTTTAACTTGAAAATAGATAAGTGGAAATCTCTGACACCATGTATTATCCTATAATCAGTGGTGGTCCACACAGACCACCTTTGCAGTTTGATATATTCGCAGGCCACTTGTCATGTTCAGATTTGTCTATGAGAGCAGGACAAGATAAAAAAACGAAAAACATGCGAAGATATAAAACAGCATGAGCGAGAGAAGATGCATCACTACGAAACAAAGTTTGCGCGTTGACCTTGGTTGAGCTTCGATGCAGTAGTCCAGAAGCCTAGGTTTTCTTAATTGCTAACCAATTATTGTGTAAAAATGGTTCCCAGGCGAAAAGCAGCAACGGCTTCACATAACGCCTCTCCGTCGACCGCTAAATATGAGTCATAATTTTCGGCCCGAGATTTGGACTCTAAAGAGTGATGCTTCTAGTTCTCACTCACTGCCAATGTCCATTGAGATAATTCCTATAACTCTCCTGGTAGTGAGAGCCCCTATTATCTGTCACCAAGGACTGCTGACCTACAGGTTGAAAACTTCGTCCCTCTAGCGTTAAGAAGAGTGTGTCGGTAAGAACGGATTATTTTCAACTGCATGTGTCTAGAAAGTACCACCATACCACGTCAGAAGGGTTAGTTCCCACACACTCCGTGATCTCCGCACAGGAGTGGTTAGAAAATGGCTATTCAGCCAGTATACTGAGACAAATACGCCCAGGCCTATTTTTACAGAAAGATTTATTCAAAACATACAAATTGGCAAGCAGGTGACGACAATAAAAGCAATTACACCTTGCATCTAATAATAAGTGGGTTAATTTACTTTTAAGATTGGGGCAACAGAAGTGACCTCGTCGTTGGTCTATGGCTGAATGGTCGATTCCCCTAGATCGCGTGCCGAATTCAAGCAAAAAGGTTGTATATTACATCAGAACCTACACCCGTCGTCCTCAGTTCTTGCAATCCAGACCTATCTGAGGAGCGAAAAGCTTTCAAATTTATAGTAATGACCTGACGGCGGCAAGAAATGATACTAGGTGAGCGTTGTACATAACAACCGTCACAAATATAATTTTTTTTCTTATAACCCCAATTGCTTCGAAGTGCGTCATGCCTTATCATACGAAAATAAACATGTTCAGTGAAATTACTGTCACGAGCAGGTAAATGATGAGCATGGTAGCCCAGCACTGGGAATACAAATACTATCCGTTTTCTTGGATCAAGCCTATTATACTTTCGCAAACTGCAAATCTACACACAATGCCGTTTACAGCTGCAATAGTTAGTACCGCCTATTTCGTTTTGCCATTAGAATACACGAACCAGCAGAAGCATGATATCACTTCAGGTATTTGCAAATGACCACTTTAAAAGCAAAGTAGCAGTCAGGGTACGTAGCCACGCATTACACTTAGAGACGGAGCGGAAGTAATAAAAAGGATTTCTCTGACTTAATTTTTTACATGGCAGTCGAAGTCGTTGAGTGTGAAGTATGTGATGAACATGAAACAATGTGAAAATTTATGTACACTGTACATTGGGAAATTCAATCCTTATAATCCAGCCTCTTCGTGTACTCCGACCCTCTGAGCACGTCGTCGGGTTTCCTGCTGAGATAAAAACTCACGCAAAACCGTTTCGTCATTGTTGGCATCAACGCTGTCATTAAAAACACCCAGCTTTTCCAATCTTTGACGATTTCGGGATGTTAGCTCATCCAAATTCAATGAACCTAAGGAAGGTGATCTAGCCATGTCATTTTTAAAATACCTCTCGGGATGTCTATACGGTAATTGTACAAAGGATGAACTATTGTCGATTTGCACAGACTCAGTGGAACGTCGTCGGATAACTGGTGCAAGATGATGGCTCTTTAAGGGTCGTCGTGGAGAGCTCTTTGAATCAGGACATCCTTTAAAGACAGGTCGCACAGGTCTTAATGGCTGAAGCTCCGACCCGTCCATTAAGAAAACCGTGGGCGGCTTTACAATGCCCTTTGCATGGAACTTGGGCCTGGATGTCTTCATAGGTCTGCCTGACCTTTCATAAAGGGGCGCTTTGATTGGCGCAAACACAGACCGAGGATCAAATACTTGAACATCGGGTTCTGGAAGGATTTCCAAAGCTGTGATGCGCCGCTTTTCAGCAACGAGTCCCGCCCTAAGTCGTTTGATTTGCGAAATAATCGCCAGTGAATCGCCAGACACTAGCAATGACTCATCAGAAAAGTCCTCCTGGGTCACATTTGACTCTTTATTCACCTTTGTAGGAGGGGTTCTACGTTCTTGTATCAGCTGTGTCTGGAGACATACGCTATGTCCACTGGGACTTTTACAGATTTTCTCCGGTGCGTTTTCTAGTTCAGGTGAAGGAGCTTGCGGTTCAGCTTCAAATACCCTGCACTGCTGACAACTTTTGACTTTTTCAGCCGCAAGCTCTTCGGCGATTTTCTTCCGCTCAGCCTCAATCCTTTCAAGCTCTAGCCTATCTTCCTCTTCCCTCCGCTGTTTTTCCTCTATTTCACGTTTCTTTCTTTCTGCAATTTGTTCCTCCAATTCTCTCCTATATCTGTCATTCGCTTCTTTTTGAGACTGAGTGAGAGGTTGACCAAAGACCCCATTGCCACCACGGGCGAATGTTGAAACCTTTCCCGGCACTGGAACAACCTCAGACTTGACTCTGTCCTGATGAACAGGTTCTTCTGTCTTTGTTAAGGCATCTGACGTTTCATTCACGAGCTTTTGTCCAAATTGATCGTATAATGACATTTCCTTTTCTTTCTTGCGGTCTTCTTCCAGCTCAAGCCGACGTTGTTCTTCCTTTCTCCGCTTATCATCCTCTATTTGTTTTTGGAGTTCGAGAGCGTATGAGTTCAATTTTTGTTTATTCTGCGCCGTCCGTTTTTCAAAGTTTGTTACACTCGACTCGCCAGCAGTTGAATTGTCAAAGAGTTCTCTGTTATCTAGAATATTTAATCAGTAAGGTTTTTAAAAGTGACTAACCTTTTCCAGTTACGTTAATGAACGATCTCTCTTGAAGAGATCGCGTGTCCGGATAAATTGGTATTTTAGGTGCTGTCGAGTAACGTTCCTCCCCTCGCAGCATAGAAAGCAGTGCCTCTAGTTCTTGCAGTTTCCTCTCTGCTTCATCAACTAAACCAACAGAATTTACTGACTGTGTTTGATAAGCCAGTGGCGCAAACCGCTCGCTATGATTAGCTAGGCTGTTCTGTATCGAATGGGAGTGCTGCTGGTCAGAATTTCCTATCAGATATAAACTTTTCGCAGGCGCACTAGCGTCCAATTTATTATGCCTGCTATATGCGTTTGAACCCAGAGGACCTCCATCACGATTCAGTGATTTAAGTTCCTCGATTGAATTTTGGAGTAGATTGATCTTGTCAAAAATGAGTCTGTCAATGCGTGCAGGGTCGGATGTCTCAAAATCCTCATTTGTGTGGATTGGGGCCCCTTCGCCGTACTGCTTTTCATTTGGTTGCATTGTAAATTCGGGTTGTCTTTTTTTATTTGCAAATCTATTTCGAAATTTATCTTCATTCTCTTCCTTAAATTTTTGGTAATCCAGATTCAACTGTCTTTTCTTTCTTTCTTTTTCGGCACTATTATTCCTGAACTGAAGAAAATGAAAGCCTTCATTGTTCGGTGTTCCAGGATGATTTTCTTCGACCATAGTCATTAAAAAACTCAAATACACAATGATAACCACGGATAAATAAAGCTGCGTGACTAATTTAACGGAAATTGAAGTGTTTCTCAAGCAACGGTGGACGGAACCAGAAAATGGCCCAATATAGACGAAGCCTTGTCTGTCGCTAAAATTTAATTGAAGATTGAATTCAACGGTTGGCAATATAAACCGTTACTGAACAATGTAAACAAACTTCTATGTTTGTGATTATTTAGACTTAGTATATAAAAGTATCGGTCGCGTAAAGACCTAAATCAAGTGAACATGTTATCAGAAACATACAGAGTAGCAACTTAGTTGGAACTCCGCATGTTCCTCGTAAGCGCCACATGCTGATTATACTAGGCTTACGAGTCAACGACAGAAAGACAGTCTACGAATTGCCATAAAACTTTCTTTGAGGTTATAAAAAATACCGCAACCTAGCTTAGCATTTGGCCCATAAGATAAACTCTGAAAAGGTGGTGTCGGTAAGCCACAATTAGCGAGTATTTGGACTAATGTCAC